CAAACACCAATTTCTAATTTTATTTATTAAAATAAAAGTTAAAATAAAAAATTAATTATATTTTATATAAAAAAGAATAAATTAAATTCTTAATTCTCTAATTTAGAGAGGTTAAAAATAAAAAATTTGTCTTCTAAAAAAAAAGGATTACTTAAACAAAGATGAGGAGACTCTCCTAAACCAGACCCAAAAATGATTGAGTGGATCGGAATTCAATGTTGCTTTTGTTTGTGGAATCCAAACTCCATCAGCTCCGCCACTACCTCCGCAATCCTCAAAGTCCTTAAGGGCTAAGCTTTTGATTCCTAATGGAAAGTCCATCACTGAGTAATCTTTTTCTTTTCTCTTTCTTTTCACAATAAAGGTAACAGTTCCATTCCTTCCCTTCCCTTCCAAGTTTCTTCACCAAAATAAAAGCAGCGGGCAACATTGCCATACCTGCAAACATCCATGCAAACCCAAGGCAATGTTTTTAAACCCGAACCGGAGGTCAAACCGTTTTGACCTCTGGTTCACAATTTGACCGGTTAAACTGGTTTAACTAGTAAAACCGCCGAGTTGATCAAACTATTATAAATGGACAATGCTACGTTTACCCTCTTTTATCACACACTCCGTTACACCCACTTAGTCTCCGTTATTTTCCCGTCAACTCTCAAACGCCCCCAGCCCAACTCTTTCTTTCTCTCTTTCTTTTCCTATCTCTATAGTTCCAGCTGATTCTCGAACATTTCCGATCATTCCCTTGTTTTCTCAAATGGTCCATCGTTGCCATGATGCTTTTCCATTTCTTGTGGGTCGTTGGACAGTAGAACATCTAAGGAAGAACACTGGAGAGAGAAGCATCAAACCCTGAATCAAATCTAGCGGAAGCATCAAACCCAGAAGCAGATTTGGAGGAAGCAGGGGAAACGGCGCTGCAGGGCGGTGGTGGCGAAAGCAGATCTGTTGGAGGCGGGTTCGAAGGAATCGAGGTTGTTAAGAGGAAGATGAGGTTGCAAATGATTAGGATGAGGATGGAGGTGAGGAGGAAGATGGATTTGGTGAGGATGCTGAACAGTAAGGAGATAGGAAATGAGAGAGAGAGAGAGAGAAAGAAAGGGCTGGGCTGGGTGCTTAATGGAAAGTAATTGCTGGGTTGCTGCTGGGTCAATTGAAGGAACCCAACTCGAAGCATGTTCTCAATCGCTTCTTTTCTCCCATAATATGCAATTCCCAGTACGCAATCGAGGTTGCAACTTGAATCAAAATGTTTTCTGAGCGCAAGAGGTTGATGATTCTTGTGATTTCTTTGTATGTTTCCAGTTCATCAACCAAAGGAATTCTGATGGTTTTGATCAACAAGGAGGATGGTGAACAGTAAGAAGGAGAAAGGAAAGGAAAGAGAAAGAAAGGGTTGGGCTATGTGCTTAACAGAAACTAACGGAGTTTGAGAGAGTAAGTGAGTGTAACGGAGTGTGTGATACAGGAGGGTAAACGTAGCATTATCCATTATAAATATATTATTCTTCCAAATATTTCACAAGGTGATAGTTGGGTGCAGTGGTAGATGACCTATTTAATAGGTGAAAGATCACAAGTTCGAGCTGGGTGAGAGTAAATTTTAATATAATTGTAGTTTTAAAGATATAATAAATATATTGTACAGCAAAAAAAAAAACAAATAAAAGGTTGTGTCTCAAGTGGTTGAGTATTTGTTTCATATTATGAAGAATGGGTGTTCGAATCCCATGGTTGTCATTAATAATTTAGTTAAAAACTTCGAAAATTCTATTAAATAAATAAAATTTCAAGTACTCAATTGCATAAGAATGGCATCGTTATAGTGGTAAAGAGTTGAAATTAAGGTTTTGGGGTTGTGAGTTCAAGTTTTGTGGGAGACAAAATTTTAAAAATTTTATGCTTAACCATTGAATCGTTTAGTCGAACGGTTTATCAATGTAAACAGTTTCAATGGTTTTTATCGGTTTTAAATGGTTTACAGTTTAAATAATTTAAAAAATATAACCGAACCATTTGTACTATTAGATATCGGTTCAACCGGTCCGACCAGCTGATCCGGTCTGGTTTTCAAAACATTGACCCAAGGTAAGCTTATTGCTACTCTTTTGGTACCCCCCCTTCCTCTGTTGATGATTTCACTTAATCCTATTACATATTAATTCTGTGTTTCCTTTTAATCGATCTTGCATTGGCTTCCAAAATGTTAAAGCAAGTAGCTACCCCATTGGCATTCATCATATATGCTTCAAAAGTAGGAGATTCTTTCATGTAAAAAGTTACGTTCTTCAATCCTTCTTGAAAGTTATCTACTTAGTCGGATGGAAAATGGAATCCCAATAAATGGGTAGTTTGATTTTGATAGATTCTATGAAATTATCTCTTTTCCAGTTGATGAATATCATGACAACTTAATTTTGTTTGGCATTGGGGTCAAATTTTCATGGATTTTTTATCTGATGACACACAGAATTGGTTGGACTCCTGTCTAGTACTAGTATACAGGAAGATCAAAAGCTTTGCTCCATATAAACCGAGGATTTCTCCGTGGAAATAAGCAAAAAGGTCCATTGTTTAACCCAAAAGCTTGATGCTCAAATCCCAACTTCTTGGAATTAATTCTGGATTCTCTTTAACCTCCACAGATATTAAGTCTCCATGGCGATTGTAAAGGCATGCACTTGTTCTTCCTGCAGCTCTGAGGGTGATGACACTCTTGGCAATTCCTAACTTCTTCTTCTTCTTCTTCCTTTTCTTTTTTCCTCTTATCTATAATTCAAGGTAATTATCAACTTCGCAGATTCACCTGTATACAAAAAGTTGGAATAAATGTTGGAGCATAAATGGATTTAATTATTTCTTCATTTCTTATTAATC